GCTTGCTGCAGGGTGAGACACCATATTGCTGCTTTCTAAGCACCCTTGGCTGGCCGTAATCTGTCTGTTTTGGCTGCTGATTAGGGCAGCTGTTCCCAGGATTACCCATCCTGGCTGCTCCCTGCCTGCCCGGGCCACTCGGTGCTGGCTGCCATGGTCCGGGGTGTCCTCCTGCCCCTGCTGCCAGCTCTGCCTTCTCTGGGCACCTTCATCTGAACTGCTTCACCAGGCAGATCCCCCAGCTGTATCCTGCCCTGGCACTGGTGGAGGAGGCTCCTGGCAGCCCTGGAGGCAGTGGTGGAGGTGACCCAGCCCCTGCCGTAGCCGCACGCGGTCAGAGCCACAGAGACCCCGCTGGCATCCGGGGCCGTGTGGGGTGAGGAGCTGCCCCTTGCTGCTCCGTGTCCTGCTGCTGTGTCCCCTGTCCCCTCCCTGGGGCTGGCAGCAGCATGGTTTGCACACCAGGCTCATGGCCTGTTCCCTTGAGGAGGGGACGGGCTCCTGTCCTGCTGGGGACCCTCCAGCCTGAACCTGCTGTTCCTGGCTGTTCCCTGCGGCGGGGGAAGGAAGGGGCAGGAGTCTCAGTTCCTGTTGTCCGACTGAGCATTAAATATAGGCTATTAAGCAATTTTCTTTGCAGGAAGTGTAGAAATACTGCTCTGTGTGAGCACAGCCTCTGTCAGACACTGAGAGCCCTGGAACTTGCCTTGCAGGGTGCAACTGGCCTCCTCAGCATCCATTGCTTTCCCCTTTGCAGCAGCATTAACCCTTCACTCCAGCTTGTCAGCAAGTTTGTCTTTGACTTGAACTTAAGGTCCAGCAGCATCCTGCTGCTCCTGCCTCTGTCCTGGGTGCCTGATAGTGCAGCTGAGCCAGAGCTGCTTTTGCTTCTTCCAGCTTAAATGGCAAGCTGGCTGCAAAGTCAGCCTTGGGGAGAGCCCTCACTGTTAGCCAGCAGCATAACCTTTTCCCTGGCTGACCTGATCTTTTAAACACAGGCACCTGGTCCTTGGTGAGCAGGAGGGGATGTTTCTCTTCTTGATGTCTCATTTTGATGTTTTATGGTTCCCCTCTGAGTCTTGCCATCACATTTCCCAGCTGTCCATCCCAGACAGGAAAAGCAGGCAGGTGGAGGAGTTGCAATCTCTGCTCAGCCCCTTATAAATTTGGATTTAGGGGAAAAGCTCCCTGCTGTACATCTGCCCAGGCTTTCAGGTTTCAGTGTGCCTCACCTCTGCGGTCCCTTTGGGAAAGCCTGGAAATGTTTTAACCACTTGGGCACAAAGAGGGGGGGGCACAGGAATGTGGCACAGAGAGAAAGGGCTGGAAGCCAGTGACGAGGCGAGAGTGGCTGGTGGCAGGGCTGTGGTGTGGGTGACATCCCCAAAGTAGCCAAAGCTCCATCTGCTGGGTCCCTAAACCCAGGGACATGTCAGGTCTGATGCCATGACGTACACACGGAGGAGGATTGAGAAATCATGACGTCTTCCTTCTGTAAACGGCCTTCCTCAATAGTTCCAGATTCCTTTAGGTGGGGATTTTTATGTAGAAACCAACCACTTCAGTCTCATTGCAGTAACAGCAGCCACTTCCCAGAAAGATTTAACTCTCAATAGCTGAAGAGGAGGAGGGGTGCCAGAGGGTTCCAGCAGGTCAGGCAGCAGCAGTGTGAGGTGCTTCCTTGCTGCTCATCCCTTGCAGGGCTGCTGGGGCTGGGATGGGAGCTCCACCAGTAATTACCCAGCTCCTTGACCTTTGCAGGGAGGAGGAGAGATGTGGGGCAGCAGGTGAGAAGGGGGCTGACCCCTGAACTGGGCATGAGCAGGAGGGACAGGCAAAGGGGATCACTGGGGCTGCCCCCAGACTGCCCTCTGCCCTGTTCCTGAGCTGGATGGTGAGGATGTGGCAGGTGGTGAGGACATGGTGGTTGGTGAGGGTGCTGAGCATGTCTCCTCTGAGCACCTGGTGCAGGTCATGAACTCTGTTCCAGGCAGGGAAGGTGCTTGAGACGGGGAGCACCACTGGACTGCTCCCCAGAGCAGGTGACCTTGTATCGCAGTGACGAGCTGTTATGTCGTGTTTAAAGGGCTGTTTTGTTTGGCTGACTGGGTGCTGTAGCTGCTCAGCTGGACCTCTGGCCTGTGCCTGGTTTTTGTCAAGTGGATTTTCCAGAAGGGATCGCCCTGTCCCTGCCAGCTGGGGGTGTGAACAGGGAGCTATGAGTGGTGATGGAGAGGAGGAGGACTGCGATAGCAACCCCGTGCCTCCGCAGGTATGTGGGTGTGATCTTGCAGGTGGGATGGTGATCTGCTTTGCTTCTCCTTGGCCAGTGCCTTCTCCATATGGTTTTGTCTGGGATCCTGGGCACAGGCAGGCACATGGCTCTGAGGCGGCTGCAGCCTTGGGGTGACAGGGGCCACTGCTGCCCTTCTGGTGTTTCAGCAGCTGGTGCAGGGGTCTTTTCACCTCCTAGGCTGCCTGTGCCAGGCATCACACTTTGCTTGCTGCCCTGGAGATCTTCAGTGCTCTGTGCTGCAGCCACAAGGCATGATGGGCACAGGAAAGGTTCCTTGACTCTGGGCTGCCTACCCACGGCGGGTACCTGGACCCTGAGCTGGTGGTGTTGCTCAGGCAGAAGGATTTTTCAGGCTTTGTGATGGCTTTCCCTGGTGTTACGGTTGACTAATGAAGCCAGCCAGAGAACTTGGAAGTGAAACTTTCACAGCCCTTGGCACAGCCCAGCAGTATCTCATGCATGGGGTCTGGGTGGTTTTACTTTTGCAAAGAGGAAGCAGGAGTTTCTGTTGGGACTTTGGAGGATTTGGGGTTTGCTCGTCCACAGCCCTGGGGAAGAAGGAGCCTTGGTGCTGAGCTGGTCTGTGAAGGGGCTGCCCTGCTTTCCCTGTGCCCCCTTGCAGTGCAGCCAGGAACACTGGCTGCTTCCACTGAGGGGTTTCTCCCCCAAATGTAGATGAGAGGTTCAAGCTTTTAGGAAAAAGGGGTGGTAGGAATGCAGGTGGATCTAACAGTGGCACAGGGAGGACGATGGGGACCCTCTGCCCTGACTCCTCACTTTCTCCAGAGGTGCAGGTGCCCCCCTCTCCTTTTCTGGCCAAGCCAGCTGCTAATTTTAGCATCTACTTCACGCTGCCAGCGATCCTCCTTTATCACCGTTGCACTGGGAATTCTCTCCTACTCCCCCTTCCTCTCCCTTGCCTATTTATAAGTGCCGTGGGCCATTGCTGACAGATGCCACCAGCTCCAAAGGCTTCCAGTGGCTTCCCAGGCTCTGGCTGTGCGTGGGCAGGGTGTTGGTGAGGCCATGTGCGGCGGGGGGAGCGTGGCTGATGGTCAGCACAGAGCTGGGGAGAGGAAGTGGCTCCTTAAGTCATTAACGTCATCTTCATTATTATTCCCGAGGAGGCAGGAGGCCACCCGGCTCTGGGGACCAGGTTGGAGTCCCTGAGCCCTCCAGCTGCCCCGGAGAGAAGGGGGCTGCTCTGTTACCACCACCAGTGGAGAGTGGGGTGAGCTGTGCCAGGAATGAGCTATGGGCAGGATTTAGCCCCAGGGCTTTAAGCAGAGACACTCAGAGAGGAGCTTTGATGCTTGGAGAAAGCTTTAAATTCTCTTATCCCCCAGGGAAAGCAAAACACTTGAGTTCTTTTGCTGTTATCTTTTGGCTGTTGGTGTCCGGGAGGAGGAAACAGCCTTTGTGTGCTCACGTGTCTTTTCCACCTGTGCTTGGAAAAAAAACAAACTACTGAATGTTTGGACTTTGGGTGAAGAAATGCACGGGGGGGTTAGTGTTACATCTTCCTGACAATGTCTGTGTGCCTGCAGTCCCTTGTGTTGCTCCACTGACAGCTCCCCTGTGAAGGAACAGGTATTTCCTCACACGAACATGAAATGCCCTTTAGGTCAGTGGTGAGACTAATTCCTGCCACCCCTGGTCCTAACCAGGTTGCAGGGGAAGGCACAATCCTGTCTTACCTGCACTCAAACCACAACCCTATACGGGACCAGTGTCTGGCATATCCCTCCTCCTCCTTCCCTCATAAATAAGTAAATAAGGTGTGTAACTAAGGGGTACCCATATATAAGTATTAAGACATAACTTCTTGTTATTTGGTGCTTAAAAGATATTTCACAGCTCGTATGTGCTTTAATTACCCTTTTTGAACCTCCTGCCCCAAATTGCTTTGTTTTCCCCACAATAAACCGTGTGTTTGTAAATTCTAATTGGGGATTGGCTGCTGTTATTGGAAATATTAGTAAGTACTGAGCAAGTTACTCACTTGAAGTCAGTGCTGAAGCCACTGCTCTTCTGTGAGAAGCGAGTGCCACGTGCGGACCCCTCAGCAGATCCTGACAAGCTAAATACACTCCAAAAAGGAGATATAAGAGGTCGCAGATCACAACATCCCCTCTGTGCCGGTGGCCTCGCGGTGCCCAGGGGTGCGTGTTTGCGTATGCAGGGTTACAGGGCCAGTTCCAAAAGCTGATCCTGGATCTGCTCAGGTCACTGCAAGTAAGAACTTAATAGGATTCAGATCTCAGAAAGAATCTGTGGCTTGGGAAGCAATAAACCTCTGCGTTGCCAGCCATACATGTGCCTTTGTCCAGCAGGGCTGGGAGCCTGTGCAGAGGGGCTGTGTGCTGGGGGGCAGCGTGGGGGCTGCCCCGGAAGAGCTGCCCCTCATCCCTGCATCACTGTTTGCCCCTGCCCTGTGGGGCTGGAGCTCCTGCATGGTTCTCATGGTACTTGGAGGTTGCATCTCCCATAGTGTATTTGGTTGGGTGCTGGTCAGGACCCTGCAGAGCCCCGTTCCTGCAGTGAGTGCAGGAGAAGAGCAACACTCCTGGAAGGTCCTGTTGGACAGGTCCCTCCTTTGGGACTTGCCAGCTGGAGTCCCACATCCTCCTGCACCCTGCCATTGGTGGGTGTTTTGCTTTTCCAACATGGGAGTCTCCCTCCCCTGCTCTCTCTGCAGACCTGTCGGCGGCCAAGCGCAAGTTCGCGGATTCCCTCAACGAGTTCAAGTTCCGCTGCATCGGAGACGCTGAAACGGATGATGAGATCTGCATAGGTGAGCCCTGGTGCCATGGGGGGCCCCGGAGCTGAGCAGGGCGTGGGGGAGAAACGTGCAGGAGCATGCCAAAAGCCTGGGAATTTGTCTGGGTGCTCTCTGGACGTGGTGTATTTCTCCTGGTTCAGTATCATCAAAGCCTTCCTAGGGAGAGCAGCTGTTGCTGCTTGGCCTAAATCTAGTCCTGCCAGATAGCAAAGGAAGAAGATTGCCTCTATCTGAAACAGGCTAGATTATCTGGCCCTTTCGCATTGGAGAGCAGGGATCAGGAGGCATGGTCATCATTAAATACATCTGAAGGAGAGGAGCAGAGGACCCATCAGGTGCCTGCTGTGCTGGCAGGAGCCTGGCAGAGTTCCCTGAACCAAGCCCGGCTCCACCACGGAACTTCTTGTGGTGCAGGGTAGAAGCTTCAGCCATTTTGCTCCATGTTATCCCACCTCTGCCCCTGCTGCACTTTTAGGGCTTATTGTGGGTATTGTCTGGAGCCAGGAGAGCAACTGAACTTTAGCCTTGATTTAAGTTTGCTTATTTATTTGTGCCCAAGTCTCTCAGGAAAAATATCTTTCTCATCCAAGCCCCCTCTCTGGGATGCAGGTGCTGGTGAGTCTGTTCTCAGCCTTGGGGCTCACCAGCAACCAGCTGCTGGGTTGGACAGGCTGGAGATGGAGGTGTGGTGTTTCTGGAGGTGGGAACACAGAGCTGAGGGTGCTCTGCTACCACTTGCAACTGGAGGCAACTGGAAGCCTTTCTGGGGAGAGAGGAAAGAGGATAAAAAACCACAATCAATCAACTCTCCAAAGCACGAACAAAAACCCCTTCTTCAGTGTCTCTCTCTCTCTCTTTAGCAATAAAATAAAAATTGCTCTTCTCAGTAGTTTCCAGTGTCAGAATGAGGGGCAACAGGTACAAGTTAGAACATGGGAAGTTCCATTTAAATATGAGGAAAAACTTCTTTACAGTGAGGGTGATGGAGCCCTGGGACAGGCTGTCCAGGGGGTTCTGGAGTCTCCTGCTCTTGGAGATATTCAAACCCCATCTGGTTACAGTCCTGTGGGAAGTGCTCTGGGTGATCCTGCTGCAGTGGGAGGGCTGGACTAGATGATCTCGGGGGGTCCCTTCCCACTCCAGCAATTCTGTGACTCTGTGAAATGCTGACTGTGCACTGTGTCCCTTCCAGCCAAGTCTCTGCAGGAGTTTGCCACCGTTCTGAGGAACCTGGAGGACGAGCGGATGCGCATGGTACGGGCTGGGGGTGGCACTGCCACGGGGGTGGTGGCGCCTGGGGCACCGTGGCCTGCAGCGGCTGCAAGCCCTGCTGCCCCTTCCCTTAGCCACGGCACGGGAGAGGAGGGTGAACGTGGAGAGGGTGCCCAGCACCAGGAAGGGTGCCTTGGTGCTGGGGAATGGCCAGCGCTGGTGCTGGTTGGGCGCAGCGGGGGAGGAGCAGGTTTGGCACCAGCCCCTCAGCCCCCCTGGGCCTCAGCTCTGCCCGGCTCTGCCCGCAGATCGAGAACGCCAGCGAGGTGCTGATCACGCCGCTGGAGAAGTTCCGCAAGGAGCAGATCGGGGCGGCCAAGGTGAGTGGCTGCTGCCTCTTCTGGGAGCCCCTGCTCAGGCTCAGGGCAGAGCCCAGAGCTGCTGTGCTGCTGGGCATGGGCATGGGCATGGGCATGGGAGGAGGTGCTGTGTTGCTGCAGGTGGACACGGGGACAATCCATCTCCTGGGAAAGTGCCTCCATGTTCTGAGTTCACCCATGAACAAGTAACGTGTCAAGGGTCAAAACTGATGTGCCAGTTGAAGTGAAGATTTTTTTCTTATTCCAAGCAAGAGCTGGCATTGTCTCAGGGGGGTTCCCAGTTGCCTGAACCCCCTGCTCTGTGCTCCCCACCCCTGGAGTGTCCCCGGGCACTGCAGGGGAATTTGGACAGTTCCTGGCAGGACGGGTGAGCCTGGGGAAGCACCGGTGTGGCTGAGGGTGGCTGGGAGACAGCCTGGCCCCTCCTTCTTTCCTGCCTTTGTTCTGCAGATCAAACCACTGTCTGGGGCTCTCCTGTTGTTATAACAACCTGCTGCTGAGCCAGGAGCTGATGCCAGCGCTGGGGCTGTGTCTGCAGGGCAGCCCTGTGCCTGGCTGTCCCCCAGCACAGCACCCAGGCTGTCCAGCTCAAAAAACAGGAGGAAGAGAGGTCCTTCAGAAGGGAACTGGTTATTAGCAGGTGTCAGAGGGAGACTTGGTGCTGACCTGTTGGGGTGGGGAGGCTGGGATGAGCTGTGCAAAAGAAAATTTAAGGTTGGAATCCTCCTTTAATGCTCCTGCCACAAACAGCCCAATTACTGTGTCGTCGTCCTGAGTGACACAGAGGGAAAAGCCCTTGCAAGGAGTGGCAGGGGATGGGATGGAATTGTGACTGTGCTGGTTAGCAAGCCCCAGCCCTGGACCTGGATGTTCTGCTGAGGCTTGGGCCCTGGGAATAGCAGAGGGGCTCCCCCCAAGTCTTGGATTTTGGCAGCACAAACTGTTTTCCTGTAGCTGCCTGATGCTCAGGGATAAAAGCAGCTTCACCTGCTTCCAGCTGATGCCCCTTGGCCTTGGTCCCACCTGTGCAGAAGGGGGTGGGCTCCTGCCTGGGACGTTTCCTGGTGCCGTAGGGATGCTGTGGATCCTCATGCCTGTCCTGGTGTTGTTAGGTTTAGCACCACACGTTTTGTTCTATTTTGTAGGATGCCAAAAAGAAATATGACAAGGAGACAGAGAAGTATTGTGGTGTCCTAGAAAAGCACTTAAACTTGTCTTCAAAGAAGAAAGAATCCCAGCTTCAGGAGGTGAGAACAGCCACTGTTTTTCCATGTCTGGCAGTAACTGTCTTGAGCATTTTGAAGGCCTCACGCAGCTCGCAGCGCTGGTTCTGCTGGCTGTAAACTTGTCCTTTTCCCTCATTCCGGCTGCGAGTGGTGGGGTTTCCCTTCCTCCTGTAATCAAAGGGGATGGAGCTGTTTTGGTGAGTACATCAGAGAGATCCCAAAATGGATAGCAATCAAAAAGGAGAGAGAGTTTATAATTAAAGAGTGTAAGAGAAAGGAACTGGTTCTGCTGCAGGCTGCCCTTGTGCCAGCACAGATCATGGGTGTCTTTAGTTCCCGTCTCTGGAAGTGGCTTCACTGGCTTTGGGCTTCATGGGAGGAGTGATCAGGCTTAGTGCTTTTAAACTGCTTTAAGAGCCTATTACTGACTCAGGACGTAGTTAGCTGCTGTGCCAAATGCTCTTACTGGATGAGTACACTGAGTTTTCAATCACTTCTTCCAAGTTTGGAGTTCCCTGCACTGGCCCAGAGCAGGGCTGGTCCCTGCAGGATGCGTGTCCCTGCTTTTGGGCATGATGCTGGTGAGGTGGTGAGTTCCTGGGGCAACTGATGGGCACAGGTGGTGGCTCCTTCACTGGAATAGCTCAGGGGCCCAACAGAGTTGGGGAAGCAAGAGAGCAGATACATCTGTGGTACAAATAATCATCTTCCACCAAATCAGGGTTGGAGAGAGGTAGGGATCAGAGTTGACATGACTGCAAACCAACTTTGTCCTGGCATGGGTGTTCAGGGCTTAGTAAATAACTTACCACGTGGAAGCACCCATATGTCGCAGAAGATGAAGATCCTCTTCTTACAGCTTTTAAATAACCCTCTAAACCTCTAGTTTAGTTGGTGTTTGCAATAGTATTGTGTGACACAGGAGTGGAAGGATCTCTTTCCGGGCAGGGAAGGAGCCACCTGTGGCTGTCTGGTTGCAGCAGTGGCTTTTAGAGGTGTGATCCCTTGCTCTGGCCAGATGTGGTGCGGGATGGCGCTGCTGGTGCATGGTGAGCAGCGCTGGCTGCTGGTGCCATCTGCTGGCATCTTCCACCCCAGACGCGGGCTTTGGCTTTTGCTGGGAAGACCAGAGGAGGCTGGGGCCAGCTCCCAGGTTCAGCTGTTGGGGCTTTTTTCCCCTGGGGCACCAGGTCCCGTACAGTGTTTTTGGAGGCTCAAGCCCCACCAAGGAAGGCGTGCCTTTGGAAGAGCTGTCCAGCATTAGGCTGTGAATTGTGGGCACGGCATCCAGCAGCACATGGGGGCACCTCCCCAGGGGCTGCCTGCCCTGCCAAGGGGCTCTGGGGGCAAGGGACAGCTGTGTGTAGGGTGACAGTGTTTTAGGGAAGTGACCACCACTGGTTAAGAGCACTCTGAAGCTTCCCCAGGCAGCCTGATGTCCTGAGAGAAGACCATTTGTGTCTGGGAGATGTGATGTTTTGTATTTCCTAACCTCCTCTTGCTGACCACATCTGGGAGGTGATAGCAGCCACATGTGCTACAGCAAGGCTGGAGAGGAGGAAATAATGGGAATTCTCTGCTGCTTTGGCTGTTGACCAATTCATAACACACAGAGTCTAATCTGCTGCTTAACTCCTGGCAAAGTTATTTGATTGCATCACATGTTCTGCTTTTCAGAACTCAGTTTGCTGAAGCCCTCAGCCTGCACACTGTGGGCAGGCAGCACCACGGCAGCTCATGGGGGAAACCGGCCACATCACGGCTGTCCCACAAACCCAGGAGTGAGCTGCTCTTCAGCTGCAAGTGGGTGTTTGCCAGCTGGGTTTTGCAGAGTGCAGGAGCCTGTGTCCAGCCCTGGCGGGGGGTGAGGCACAGCTCATCCACCTCCCTCGAGGTCTGGCTCTGCCACGGCACAGAGAGGGTGATGCTGGCGAGGCCACGGCAGAAGAATTTGCCTCCTGTTGAGCAATGACTTGGTGGTGGTTTCCTCTGGGGGTGAGGCTTTGACCAGCTTGAGGTCACTGGTGCTGAGGTCAGAGGGGTGGTGGGTCACCCAAACCCATGTCCCTGGGAGCACCACCAGCATTGGTGATGCCCTGGGTTGCTCTACACAAAGTGTCACTTGCAAAGTAGCAGCGACGTGTGCCAGGGATCCCCGTGTCCCTCACCCACTTCCAGTGCAGCTCCACGTGTGTGGGGAGGTTCTATTTATGGACTGGGGCATGTCCCTGTTTTGGCTCACTTGGGCTCTCCCTGGGAAGCAGAGGGGTTTGCTGGCTGTTGGTCCATTGCACTGGCATGCTCTGCAGGGGGTGGTGGGCTGTGTGTTCTGCCCGGGATGCTCGGGGCAGGCTCTGGTCACGGCGCTTTCCAGAGAGCAGAGAATTGCCTTTTATTGTCAAGCATGCAGGGACTTCTCATCTTTCTCACTTGTAACGTGTGCTCTTCCACACAGCTGTCAGGGAGGTGAGAACATGAGTCAGTTTTCAGCTGAAGAAAGAGCTGTGCCATCTGTGCAGCCCTGGACTGGGGTCTGAAGCTGAATTTGTTCTGCATGCACACGTTCCCATTAGACCCAGATGTCCTCTGGTTGCCAGGCCAAGTGCTCCCGGTCAGTAATGACTGTGTTTCCTCTCTAATCTCCACGTTGCCTGCAGGCAGACAGCCAGGTGGACCTGGTCCGGCAGCATTTCTACGAAGTTTCCCTGGAGTATGTCTTCAAGGTGCAGGAGGTCCAGGAGAGGAAGATGTTTGAGTTCGTGGAACCAGTAAGTGAGCACTCCAGGTGCCTCAGCCTGCAAAAGAAAGGGGGCTGTGTGGAGGGCTGGGGGCTGGTGAAGGGTCCTGGGGCTGGGGCTTGCCTTGGCTTTGGGGGAAGGAAGCACAGATCTGGTTTTGAAGTCTGTTCAGAGGAGGTGTTGGAAATGAAATGAGGAACAGGGCATCTTCCCGGGGACTGCCAGGCAGCCCCTCTGCCCCCGGGGAGCTGCAGGGATGTTTCCCCTGGGCAGGGGTTGCTCTGGAAGAGGCTGTGGGTCTCTACTGACCGTCTTGACTTGTTTTTACCCCAACGCAGCTGCTGGCCTTTCTGCAGGGCCTTTTCACTTTCTACCACCACGGCTATGAGCTCGCAAAGGACTTCAGCGATTTCAAGACCGAGCTGACAATCAGCATCCAGAATGTGAGTGTGCCCTGTGCCCCTTGCTGTGACTGTCCTGCAGGGCTCACTAACACTTCTGATATATTTTAATAAGGTTTTGTTCTCCTTTTTGCTGTGTACCAGGAGGCAAAAGACTGTGTTATTGAAAGCAAATTCCTTTTGGTAAATAACATGACATTGCAGACACGGCCTCCATGGCAGCTCCTTCCCTGTGACACAGCAGGCACAGTGGCCCAGCTTCCCCAGGAGCCAGCCAGTGAGCAGACACTGCTGTGTGCCCTGTGGGTTCACTGAGGGCTTCAAGCCCATCCTGCAGGTGTTCCACAGTGCTGTTGGCTCCAGGCAGTGCAGCACCATTTGCTGCCCAGTCTCGGGCACAGTGCATGGTTGGTGGCCACATGTCAGACACGTCTGCAGGCTTTGGTGCCTTGGCATGGCAGCCTGGCTTTCCTATCTTGTTATAAAATTACTCTGTTTCTCCCAAGGATGCAGGTTGGTTTCATTCCTTTGAAACAACTGTTTCACAAAACTCGTAATGCAAACAATTTACCAATCCTGGTATTTTTCTTTCAGCTTAAATCCAGGCCCAGGAAGACAGCCTGTCCTGTGTCTCACAGTGGGCTCCCCCTGGTCCTGTTTCCTAGAGGGGGTGTAGTGACCCAGCTCTGGGGTCCCACCCCTGTGTGATGCCTCCTTGGAGGCCACAGTGGGTTCATGCACTGGAGAAGGCATTTGTGTTTTCATTTGCAGACAAGGAATCGTTTTGAAGGAACGAGGTCAGAGGTTGAATCTTTGATGAAGAAGATGAAGGAGAATCCTCACGAGCACAAAAACATCAGCCCTTACACAATGGAGGGTTATCTCTACGTGCAAGAGAAACGTAGGTGTCTGCCAGGGCAATGAGGCCAGTGGGCACCTGAGGGAGGTGGTTTACCAGGGTGTGGGGCACAAAGGCTAACTGAGCAGGCTGCAAAAGCTGTGAGAGAGAGGGATTGGCCCAATGGGTGGGGTATTAAGGTAGAAGCAAGGGAGCCAGGTCCTCCCTGGGAGGAAGAATCACTGGCAGTGTCTGATAAAAGACTTTTCCCTGAACTGAAGTGATGATCCATAAGCCACTGGTGAAGCCCAACAAGAAATCTGTAATGTTAAATGACTGTTAAACACACAGGTTGTTAAGGTTGAAGATGCTGAAACTGGGCTAGTTTCTGGGAATAAAAGCTGCATCTGGTTTGTAGGTCACTTTGGGACGTCCTGGGTGAAGCATTACTGCACATACCAGAGGGAATCGAAGCGGATCACGATGGTGCCATTTGACCAGAAGTCTGGAGGAAAAGGGGTGAGTGTTGGTTGGCAGCAGGACTGTGTCCCGGGATCTCTGCCCGGGAGCCCTGCGGAGCTGCTGGCTGCACATTCTCCTGCTGCTCAAAATGAACCATTTTTAGCAAGGTGACACAAATGCAAGTGGAATGGATCAGATTCCAGGCTGAGCAGGTGCCACATGGGAAACTAGCTCTGCACCTTGTTCAAAAAAACCAAAACCTGAACAAAAGGACACGGAAGCCCCCAAAGCTCACAGACCTTTGGAAACGGCCAGGTGTGCTGAGAGCAGGTTTCCCAAGTGGATACAGCCCCTTGGACATTGCTCTGCTTCATTCTTCAGTTTCAGACTCCAGACCAGTGTCTGCACACAGCTATTTGTAAAGACAAATTTTCAGCAGCTGCCTCTGGGCTGGGACTGGGCCTTTTGCCTCTTGCTTTTAAGTCTGCCCTGTATTTGCTTATTTCTGATTGTGAAAGGAGCTTTCGAAGCTGAAGCATGTGCAGTTGCATCTTCTGCTCTGGCTGTTCCTGGTGATGCTGAGCACATCTGGGTTGTGCCTCTGCACTGTGGCCAGCGAGGCTGTGGCTGTTCCCGTGGGTCAGGTGGTGGTTGGGGCTGGGACCTGCATGGGCTCATATCACACACACCCACCACACTCCCGCTCCTTGGGTGCTCCCCAGTCCCTTGTTCCTGCTCCAAAGCCCAGAGAGGAGAACCTGTTTGTAATTTTGCTTCTTCTCCAGTGCCTATGACTTGGCCAGTGAAGTTGTTTTGCTTTAGACAGAGCCAGAGGAGAGCCTGGAGCTGCCCTTAGCCCCATGGGGATGTGGAGGGGCTGGGGGAAGCAGTGGGTGTGGGGTGCTGGGGGCCAGCACAAGCCATGTGCCCCACTGCTCCGGGGCAGCATGAGCCTGGCTGTAACTGGGACCGGCTTGGGTCCTCT